AAAAATACAAAAATTAGCCAGGTTTGGTGGCACATGCCTGTAATCCCAGCTACTCAGGAGGCTGAGGCAGGAGAATTGCTTGAACCCAGGAAGCGGAGGTTGCACCAAGACGAGATTGTGCCACTGCACTCCAGCCTGGGTGACAGCACGAGACTTCGTCTCAAAAAAAAATAAAAGGAATTAATAGATTTCTATTTTTTAGAGAAGTTTTAAGTTTATAGAAAATTGAGCAGACAATACAGAGTCCTCCCATCCCCAGCATCCTCTGCTATCTGCGTCTTGCACTAGTGTGTCACATCTGTTACAAGTGATGCACCAATACTGACACGTTGTTATTTACTAAAGTGTGTAACTTATATCAGGGTTGGTTCCTTGTGTTGTATAGTTCTGCAGTAGTTTCTATGTACTTTGCCAAGTACATAGTGACGTGTATCCACCATTCAGGTAACATGCAAAATGGTTGCATTTTGCATGGTTGGTCCTCAAATTCCCCTGTGCCCCACCTCTTCATCTCTCCATCCTCCTGAGCCCCTGGCAACCACTGATCTTTTTTTTTTTTTGAGACAGAGTCTTGCGAGTCCCACTCTGTCGCCCAGGCTGGAGTGCAGTGGCTCGATCTCGGCTGACTGCAAGCTCCGCCTCCCAGGTTCACACCTTTCTCCTGCCTCAGCCTCCCAAGTAACTGGGACTACAGGTGCCCGCCACCACACCAGGGTAATTTTTTTGTATTTTTAGTAGAGACGGGGTTTCACCGTGTTAGCCAGGATAGTCTCAATCTCCTGACCTTGTGATCCACCCACCTTGGCCTCCCAAAGTGCTGGGATTACAGGCGTGAGCCACTGTGCCTGGCCAACCAGTGATCTTTTTAATAGTTTCATCTTTTCCAGAAACCCATATAGCTGGAATCATGGCCTTTCCAGATTGCTTCAGTTTGGGGCAATTATAAATAAAGCTGCTATAAATATTATTTTGCAGATTTTTGTATGGAAAGATGAAATGTCTTAACTATTTTAAAAATCAAAATATTATAGTAGATGGTGCTTCTGGCATTACCACTCTCATGACATACTGATATTGCTAAGATTAAGTTGTCAAACCTGAATACAAAGGTGGCGGCCGCAAAATAACTGATGCATGCCTTAAAGATCACACACGCTCACGTGGACACTCGGTTTGGTTCTAGACATTCAGAGTTTAACGTCTACCTATGGGTAGGAAGCCCTCGGCTTCCTAAAGGTATCAGGAACTTTCCTAACTTCATCAGTTAGGAACACAAAACCCAACTAGCAGAGCCTAAAACAGGGTTAGGGTTTGTTTTGCCAAGATAACAAGAGCGGGGTGGAGGAGCTGCCTGCATTGTCATCAAAGGCACAGGGTGTCTCCGTCCTCCCTCCCCACCACCTGTGCCGACTCCAGCTTCATCCTGGCTGCATCTCAGCTGCAAGGTGGCCACAGCAGCAGGCAGGCCAAGCAGCCCGCCAGAGGCTGCACCAGGAAGCCTTACGAGAGGGCTCAGGGTTTCCGGAAGCTTCTACACAGCCTTGGCTTTCTATCTCACTAGCTGGGCTCGTCCCATGGCCACCTGTGCGTGCAGGGGAGGCTGGACAGGCCAGCATTTCTTTCTTCAAAGTTCACAAGCAGAGGCAAGCAATGGAGAAGGTCATGAAGAAGGACTGTTGAATTAGTTAAAGCAACAGGCTTTGTTATTGCAGGGAATGAACAACAATGAGCAAAAAACTCAACAAACTCAACGGAGCTCCAGCCTGGCCCATTCCAACCTGCCTTACAACTCCACAAGGATCTCCTCGCTGCCCAAGTTGGGACCTGGCCGCTAATGACTTTGAGAACGGTCGCCGTTTCCGTGACAGCTCCTCTGCTGCTGTCATGGCCTCTACGCCACCACCGCTCCACAGGCATAGGAAGGAGCCCAGGAGGGCTCGCACTCACCTCAGGGCTACAGTCCCCAAGTTCTCCCCAACGCCTGAGGGTCAAGGTCGTGCTCGGTGTGTAGGGTTGGAGGTGCAGGGAGGATAGAGAAGGCAAAGTTCATTTTAATGGCATCCCTCTTTTATTTTTCATTCCATTACTTTGATCATTATCTCTCCTTTGGATCTTTGCAATAACTTCCAAACTGTCTCCTCTTCAGTCTCCCTGTATTCAGTGTTTCTCCCAAAATTTCCAGATGAGGCTTCCTGAAACATGGAAGTGACTGGTCCCTTACTTCCTCACAAACCTTTGCCACCTCCCCTCTAGCCACCATGTAAAGCCTGACACAGGAGCTTAGCGTCTACCTCTACCGTCTGCCTCTTACCATTCTGCTGTTCCTGCTACTTGTAATCTTCTTCTTACGAAGCCCACCATTTCAATTCAGGAAATTCACAAAGCCAGACGCTAATCCACATTAGAAAATCTTAATATGGGACACATATGGAAGTATTTTAAATGCGAGTACAAAAGTTATTTCCTCATACCTTAGAAATTATTGACAAGAAAAAAACAACTATGCAAACCCAGAGAATTTAAAGAACTTAAATTCTAGTAACATGTTAACTAGTAGTGAAAACAGGATACTATGACAAATGAAAAGTTAAAAGCTGCCAATACCTGCACCTATATTTTGGAAGTATAACATAACTCCCAAAGGTAAAATAACATAAAACATAAAAATATATATTTGATTCATATAAAAATTTCTAAAGCTATACAGGAGATGCATATTGTCTGTTTTGTTTTGCTGCAATTTCTGAGCATATTCTTAACATTGATGCCTCAACTGTCACGTCTATAAAACGGGTACATTTGTAAACTGCCTGAACAGAAGACTGGGAGACAGACTGGGAAAATTGTCAAGGGTCCTTTCAACTTTAAAATGTCTGATACTATTAGATTTTTAAAAAATAAAACAGTGCATTATATGAATTAGTAAAATTCATGTCATGATAGTAGCATCTTATTTTCAGCAATTTCTACTTAACTTTTGACTAATCTACATTATGCAAATCTAGAGCCTGGAGAGCAGGGTACCCTTTTAGTATGAGAAATAACCCAAATACTGTTATTTATTTATCCACTTTTTTGATGATTTCATCAAGAGAAGGAATCAATGCCTGTGACAATTTCTCTCCATCTCGTTGAATCCTTTTCTAAAACCCTATTTAGATGACTTGATTTTGTGGTTTCTTATGGTTTAATTCTTCCAAGTGGATCTAACAGTGTTTAATTTACTAGTATCTCTAAAAACTGAACAGGAATGATGAAAGTCACATAAGAAAAGCAAATTAATATAGAAATTCAACATGGTTGACTTGCAAAATCCCATAATATTCACCGGCAGGATCCAAATTTTCTTTTACTTTCTGTGAGTAAGAAAAGTTATTCTTCGAGCAAATGTGAGAAATACTCAGGTCTTTTTAGTTAAACTTGTGACAAGATTTACCAGATCCTGCCTTTCCTACGGCTCTCATTTTAAAAGCGTAACTATTAATACACGGAGCTGGTAAGCTGCGGGATTTCTCTCTGACATGTCTCTGCGTCCACTGAGCACAGGAGCAGACGTTTCTACCATGGTATAGAATCCGAATCATGTCATAGAATCAAAGGGCGAGTGGGATCTTAAGACTCGGCCATGGGCAAATGACGATGTATTTCCAAATGAACCTTTTCCTAAGGAGCTATTAATTGCATGGGTCACAATTCCACCTCCACCCTCTCAGAGCATTTGAAGGAGTTGGGCCAGCCCAGGGGTTGGTGAGTAAGTTATAATCAGCAGAGGAGGTGGGCCAGGAGCACACCCCACAGCTGCTGGCTCTGCCTTGGGGGATGAGCATTTGCAAAGCCGGAAAAATGACCTCTTGGCTATTAGTGCAGGAGACCTGTGCTATTCAAAGAGTGAACTCGGAGGGTGGGGATGAGAAATTCTTCCTTTACCTAAAAGCCACTTAACAGACTCATTCAAAGAGCACAGGGCCCAGCCCAGTGGGATCACGCCTATAATCCCAGCACTTTGGAAGGCCAAAGTGGAAGGATCACTTGAGACCAGGAGTTTGAGGTCAGCCTGGGCAACATAGTGAGACTCCATCTCTACAAAAAATTAAAAAATTAGTCAGGCTTGCTGGCACATGTCTGTAGTCCCGGCTTCTTGGGAGGCTAAGGTGAGAAGATCGCTTGACCCCAAGAGTTCAAGGTGACGGTAAACTGTCATTGTGCAGCTGCACTCCAGCCTGGGCAACAGAGGGACCTATCTCTAAAAAAATACAGAAAACAAAAATCCCAAAACCAAAAAATATATATGATTAATAATAATTACAACTAATGTTTTCTGACTTCTGACAGAGCCACTGTGCTACATTCTTCACAGGAATGACTTTATTTGTGCAATTTGACTCCAGAGCCCATGGGAGTCCATCTCCAAACCACTTTGATCAATAACCTCCTTATTAATGAAGGTGCTGTGTTTGGGCATTGCAAAGACAAAATATGTCCCATACATAAGAAATAACACCCAGCCTCTAAGAGCTTAAAATATTTGGCAGGAGGCAGAAATGTTCAGACATGAATAATATTACTAAGACAGAACCACCTTTAAAACAGAGTTGTTCTATCTCAGTTTGAAACAATTGTGTTCGGAGGAGTCTGAATTAGGTCCATGCCTCCATGGAGGCCCTGGCCGAAAATCCAGCTCCTTCTTTCAACTCTGCACGTCTCAGGGCCGGAGGGCAAGTAGTGGTTCCCCAGCAGCTGGCAGTGGGTTTGATCTCAAGCATGATCTTGAAGGTCCTTCTCAGCTTCCATTCCAGGATAAAATTATTGAGACGTATTTCTGATCCTTCCCAGAATGAGAACTCACACAGACAGTCTCTCACTCAGCAAGAGAGACAAAACATCGGATCCACTGGTTTAATGCGTAGAGATCCAGCGTCTCCGGAACAATCTGCCGCAGTCTGCGAGCAGGACCTTCCGAGCTCCAACGCCCTGGGCTCCTCCAACCACAAAAGACTGCAAAGCCCGCCAGGCGGGAGGGCTGAACACGCATGTGCCTAGGAGCAAAGCACAAAATGACCCGAATAGAAAGAAAAGCCAAAACCAGCAGTTACAAATAATTACCACTTGGCCTACAATTTCAAAAGAAAGTCGGAGAATCACTTGAACCCAGGAGGTGGAGGTTGCAGTGAGCTGAGATCGTGCCATTGCACTCCAATCTGGGCAACAAAGAGCAAAAACTCGAAAGAAGGGGGGAGAGAGAGAGAGAGAGAGAGAGAGAGAGAGAGAGACAGAGAGACAGAGACAGAGAGAGAAAACAAACGAAAAGAAAGAAGAGAAAAGAAAGAGAGAGAGAGGGAGAGAAGGAACAAAGGAAGGAAGGAAGGAAAGGAAGGAAAGGAAGGAAGGAAGGGAGAGAGAGAGAGAGAAAGAGAGAGAAAGAGAAAGAAAGAAAGAAAGAAAGAAAGAAAGAAAGAAAGAAAGAAAGAAAGAAAGAAAGAAAGAAAGAAAGAAAAGAAAGAAAGAAAGAAGAAAGAAAGGAAGGAAGGAAGGAAGGAAGGAAGGAAGGAAAGAAAGATAGAAAGAAAGAAAGAAAGAAAGAAAGAAAGAAAGAAAGAAAGAAAGAAAGAAAGAAAGAAAGAAAGAAAAAAAGAAAGGAAGAAAAAAAGAAAGGAAGAGAGAGAAAGAAAGCCGTGCCTCCCAACCCATGACTGGAGGGCTTTCAATATCACTCATCACTTTCAATATTCCACACCCTTCGGCAATGCTTCTTCCCCTCTTGCTTCTGCCCAAAAGACACATGGAAAGCAATAGAGGCTGCAGTGTTAGCTCACCACTTTCAACATTCCATTTTCCCTGGAAAACTGGAGGCCATAGTGCTTGAGGGCCAGTTACAGGAAAAGCAGAAAGTGCACAGCTTCAGCATCAGGGTCCCTCTAACTAGACTGAGAACTGGACCAGCAGCAAGATTGGGTGGTAACGGGGCTCAGTTTCCTTCTGAACATAGCAGAGTTTGAAGCTCAACACTTCTGCCCCAGGCTGTTCTTGGCAAACATCGTACACATATATTAGAGTGAAAAGTCTGCAATATGTCCTGTGGATGGGGAAGCCAAGGTGAGGCCATTCCTAAAAAATGTTCAGCTCCTCATTTACAAGCAATGGTTTCCATATTGGCAGCAAGAGGCGATTTCCCCTTTGAGCTGGATGGGGTGGGGATGGGAGGAGGCAAGCGAGGGAGGGCAAATGGGGAGGAAAGAAGAGAGGTCATTGCAAAGTCCTGGCTTTTCTTTATTACGCTAATGCTTTTGTGAACATATAGGAAAAATCACGGTGTTTGGCCACAAAAAACAGTGAGCCATTTATCCACTGCTCTCCCTATGACAAGTATTATATACTAATTACATAGGCATTGAATCAGAGATACACGATCATCTAGTTTCCGCATTCATTGCAGGAGACTGGATATCTTTGGAACGTTTGTGGAAGTCAGCTTAAAAATTGTTTCCCTGGATCGTGTTCCATCCACACCCTCTGTTTCTGGAGAAAATAGCGGGAAGGGAGTAGTTAAAGCTGCGAGTGGGAGAGGACTTGAGCCTGACCCCCAGGGGAGGCTCTTCTGCTTGGTGGGACCTCCCTAGTGGGGTCTGCAGAGGGCCCTCTCTCCCACTCTCCTGCTTCCCAGGTGCCTGCCTCCTGGCAGAGAGACCTCCCCTGGGGAGGGACAACTTAGGAGGGCCATCCTGGAGAGTTGCCAGCTCAAAAGCTCAGACACCAAACACCCGACCTCTCCCCACTTCCACTGAAGTCAATGAGGGGAACACACCCAGAGGCCACTTCTTGCAGCTTTATCTATAGTTAGCTGCACCAGCCACAGCAAGGGACAATCCAGCAAAAAGGTTAGCCACTG